ATTTTGGGGTAAAAAGTGCGTCTTATACACCGAAAAATACGGAATATAATTCTGATGTGTTATGACGTAAATAAAATGGTTGAAACATTACATTGCACCAACTTCATCCAGTTCACACGGTATCTGTTATTGTCCAGCGATTCGCTGGTATAAATATCGTCTCAACAACTGGCATGTTCCATCCTGTGTATCCTGTCCGGTCTGAAGATCTCTTCAGATGATGCAGTAAACACGTCGAAACATGTTGACTGTATGATACTGTCTCATCGGGTTTTTTGTTCTTTCATCCTGTACGGTAACTTATTTAGTATTTTAGAGACTGGAAACAGTCTCATTTTTAGAATAGTGTACAGTAAGTTGTTGTTTATTGAAAATTGAATCTTTAGCTTCGAGCATTTACACAAGTGCCAGTGAATTTTAACTTTATTATCTGTACACAATCTCTAGATGATTAACTTTCTATAGAGATCCCATGTGAAACTGGTTATCTTGTTCTCTGAAGGCTACAAGCTTGTTCAAAAAGATATCGCAGTAGACTAAACTACTGATGTGGTGATGGGTAATGAAGATACACTTTAATTAAGACTGAAAGTTCCTGTCTAAATGGATATTAATCCTCACTGAGTATCCTGCTGAGTACTTCAGTGGGCTATCTGTGCTGTGCCCACCATGGATATTAAAACCCAACCTTTTAGTGTTATAAGTCAGTAGACTTACTGCTAAGCCACTGGGAGTCATTTTTTTTTCATTTCCACCCATGATAGTGGGTCATCTTTAGATTACTGTTATAATTCTACTAAAAAGCTTTTCTTACTAAAACAACTGCTTCTTATACCATTAATATATAATTGACTGATTTGATTCAGTTTTTTTATAGCAATGTTAAACTTTCAGTAATAATACTAACTTTTTACTACTGTCTGTGCATGTGATCTCAAAATAGTTCTTTTTACGTGTTTTAATTTTTTACAAAATGGTTGCTGTATTGAATGTATTCTCAGTTGTCATAAGTCTGCTTTCATTTATCTAGTTTAGAACTTGTAGTATTTCATCAGAGAGATAATTGTAAATAGTTATGACTTAGTACTTAAAGATGCAGGGAACATAAAACAGGCATATGTAAAGCAATAAGCATGTATAGAGGAACGTGTGCATCATTATTTCTGTTCAGAACATGAATATTTTTTGTTTGTTTTAAAGTAATTTCATCAACTACTAAATGGTTAGCTAAAATCTTAAATGTTTTTGAGAAAATGTGCTACTATAGAGTTTAGGTCGGAAAAGTCACATCACCTTTACACGAATATGTACAGGAATAAGTCTGTGTTCAATGCTTTTATATGTTTTCAGTTTGGGGTAAGCTTCAGTTTTTTGAATTAGTGTGTATGTTATAAAACAGCAATATTCATATGAAGAAAACAATTAACAGAAGGTTTAATTTATGTACAAAATTACCATAGTGTGGAGTATCAGGTATGCATTATTGTACTCACTGACATTACTACTGTTCTTTTACTGCTAGATGTTATTAGATGTCAAGCAAGATAATTTTAATTATATATAAAATATCACTTTCTATAATTAGAAGTTCCCACTGACATTACTACTGTTCTTTTACTGCTAGATGTTATTAGATGTCAAACAAGATAATTTTAATTATATATAAAATATCACTTTCTATAATTAGAAGTTCTGTTAAGAGTTAGTCAGATTTCAGCAAATAAAAGATTTAAATATAACATATATATATGTACGGCAGTATTGATGTTTTTAGATTACTTATGAAAAACGAGTAAAAAGACTTTATTATATGAAATAGTTATGTAGGAGAGTTGTGGTATGTGTAATACATAAACTTGTTAATAAGCAATAACAAATAGCTTAATGTATTAAATGTCAGTACAGCAGATTGATTGTTTATATGTATGGTATTTGGAATTGTCTTTTACTCAGCACACTGAACTTAGATAGGATTTGAGAATATACAGTATTGATATTACTAATTTATTCTTGTGAATTATTCAACAGACAAACTGTTTAAAATACTAAAAATAAATATGATGCATAATCTTTTCTTTGATTTATCACTTGTCACATTTGCACTGGTTTCTGTGCGATTAACGCATTCGCAAGTAACAAGTAACGAGTAACGAAGCTAAACATGCACAATAATTTATACTGATGTAATGCTATGATAATAAATGTTTAACTAACCAACATTAATAGTAGAAGTATAATTACAAAATAATGTGTTTTTTTCTTAGTTAGTGAATAAAATTTGAGTGTTTTTTGAGTTATTAAAATTTGCAACTATAAACCGAATATTGCAAAATAATGCTTCTTTTTGACTCCACAGCTCCATCTGGCAGCTTTAGGATCACTAAAAGAGGAAATATCAGATTTAACTCAGAAAGTTCAACATGTTAGTCAAGAGAGAGATATGTTGGAGAGACAAGTTGGTAGAGCTCAGGTAATTGTCACTGATTTTACTTATGCGATACTGGTAAGAGAGTGTGTTAGCATAGCTTTATAAATTAATATTTATTGAATGTATTCAGTATTAAACTGTGAAAAAGAACAACAGTTAATTGAAACTCCGACAGGCTGTTATCAATTTATCATACACAGTGTTTTGAAAAGGGGGATATATCTTGAAATATAAGTTAATAAGTTGTATGATGTAATTTACATTCTGTCAGTAAGTACATAAATATCCAGGGTGAACCTTAGTTAATCTGTTTGCTATGTTTATGTATTGTTCACATACACTTGCGTACAGGACATGGAGGTCAGGCAATTGGTAAGGTTTCCTTTAAGTTCTTATGATGTGTAATATCCAAGCTGGAAGGCATGACACACTAATTGGTAATAGGTGTCATAATTACAACTCTATGAGATTGACATTTCTGATCATATTTACTGATTTTATACGAATGTTCATCACGCTGGTATAGAATAACATAATTAAAATTATTATTCTGTTGTAGTACGAAATTAGTATTATCAAGAATGACTTGTTACCTAGCCTGTTTGATGAGCTCTGGTATTGAAGAAAATAATTCATTAGTGCAGTTTAAGTTTGCTGTTTTTTTTAAACTGGAATCAGTAAGAATTGATATAAATATCAAATGTATTAAACATTCCATTTACAACATTTTTTTTTAAGATATTGATGGTTTAAACTTTTTTGAAGTTACATTTGTATTAGTTGTATAATTGAATGTTAATCAGGCAAGCAATTTTGAAAAACTGTAAAATGGTGTATAACTACTACTTCTTCAGCTCGATAGACTGCGCCTGGCTAGAGATAATGAAAACCGACTTGAACAACAAGCTCAAAGATATGAAGAAAGGTTAACAGAGCTTCACAGTATCATTGCCGAACTGTCAAGAAAGTTGGACATCCAGGAAGCAGCAGTCATCAAGTAAGTCTCAGAAAACTGTTATGTTTTCTTCTGTTCTTTACAGTTTGTTCAAGTTCTGGAAGGCATGACTTGAAATTTGGTTATTAAAGTTCCATTCCTTTATATAAATGTAAACTAAAAGAGTCAACATGAAAGAAATATCTCTGCACTAAAGAATCTTGAAATTTGTATTATAGAACTTGTTTTCTTCACAGAAGAAAATTGACTTTCTTACGTGTGAAGATGTCATTTTGGAACGATTCATTAAACCTTTATTTGAAGAACAAAACTTGTTTTTAAATTTCTTAATTACTTTGGAAGTTAGAGCAATTTTACTCGATGAAACTGGCTTGAATAAGTCGTGCGCACTGAGTGGCTTACTGAAACGAAAAGGGTGATGTTGTTCATGCATGGTTGCTTCGTGAGATACACTTGACTCGCAATCTGAGGGTCGTGGGTTTGAATCCCTGTCCCACCAAATCCAATTGTGCTCGCCCTATCAGCCATGGGGGAGTTATAATATGACGATCAATCCCACCATTCGTTGGTAAAAGAGTAGCCCAAGAGTTGACAGTGGGTGGTGATAACTAGCTGCAGATAGTCCTCGTGTAGCTTTGCACGAAATTGAAACCAAATCGTGAGATACAAAAAATAAGACGCATCTTAATCACAAGTTGATTTACTATGTTAACATTTTTTCCCATATTTATTTTAGCTATTTTTTTATAATTTGTTTCTGTAACTGTTAGTGTGCTACTTGGTTGTCCCTTGCAGGCCAAGTATGGCCCACAGGCTACCAGTTGAAAGCCCTCCTTTAATCACCGATAGCATTAAACATGTCCTACGAAAACAAAACCAAATGTTAATGATGGCCACAATATACAGTTTAATGCTTAATAATTAAGAAACTAATTACTACATACATGATGTTGTTCATGAAGGAATTCATACTATATTATTATTATTATTATTTATCTAATAAATGTTTTACACAGTAAACTTTACTGTTCTTACTTAATTCTTTTTTTGTAAGTTGAATAGTTTATAAATGAATAATTTTGTCTATCTTACTGTACTATTCATTACAAAATTGTTTTGGAATATTTGTAAAAAAACTACATGGCCATCACAAATATTAACTGATAGACTGAATGTCACTTTTCATGGCTAGATAGTTAGGGTGCTCGACTTGCATTCTGCGGGTCGCGGGTACGAATCCCCGTCCCACCAAACATGCTCTCCCTTTCAGCCGTGAGGGTGTTATAATGTGACGGTTAATTCAACTATTCGTTTGTAAAAGAGTAGCCCAAGAGTTGGCGGTGGGTGGTGATGACTAGCTGCCTTCCCTATAGTCTTACACTGCTAAATTAGGGATGGCTAGTGCAGATAGCCCTCGTGTAGCTTTGCGCGAAATTTAAAAACAAACAAGAGCTAAGTATAATCTTGACTAACATGGTAGCTTATTTGATCTGGGAAATGACTTGTTTGTAGTGTAAAATATTTAAAATCATACAGAAAATCCAATAAACACTGACAGTTTTCAAGTAACTCAATTAGTTAGGAGATGGTTGTGATAACCCATAAAATTTAAACTATAATTAAAGTAAAAAACTTATACAAGAAAGGTTTATGCTTTGTGCAAAAATTCTGTGTCATATTTATATATATTTCATAAAAAAATTCTCTAGTTGGTTATAAAAATTAAAGTTTTTTTCCAGCATTTTCAAAGAAATTCAGTCATAGATTTTCATAAGGTCTGTTTGACATTATATGGTGTTGATGTAGTTTTGAGCTTAGTGTTATGTAATGTTGTGAATGTGTTTAAATATGTGGTAATTGTTAATGTCAAGAGTTCTGTTTTAAATATGTGTGTGTGTGTGTGTATATATATATAACCTACAATTTATTTAATGTACATGCAGATGTACGCACCAACAAAGTCCTAATATAACTATAAAATTATACCATTTGTATAAAAATACAAAAGGTATCATTAAAGTGAAAATACCTGCAGTTATAGCTCCCAAAAGCGTTGGGGATAT